ATCTTAGTAGCAGTAAAATAAGTATAATTAAATTGAAATTTAGAAATCTCTAAAAACAGTATAAATGAAGTTTAGCAATAAGATACGTTGATCATTTTTCATAAAAAAAAATTACAAAATTTACCTAGAGTGAATTTTTGTCAATTTGATATAATATCTAAATAATTAAATTTTATTATCATCTGTTTAATTTGGCTAAAGAAAGTACGGATTTTCCAACAATTCAGGCGATTATGCATAGTAATTGCAGTCCAAATTTGAGAGAAAACTTCTTATTATTCTATAAATTTTAGTTACCAATATAAATATTATAGAGTAGATATTTTTGGAAAAGTTTTTTAATTTTAGCATCCGATCTTATACTTGACTTGCTTGACAGTTATTTAGTTCAAATCAATAACAAACAAACGAAAAAAAATTGCATAACAAAAAAAGTACTAACGCAACCGACTCTCAATGCCTGCAAACTTCTGAATAGTAGTTTGGTGCCATTTCGTTCCCTTTTTTTAATAAATAATATAAATATTGTTTTTAAATAATTTAATGTAATCCATGTGGAAAGTAAAAAATAATTACAAAAAAATCCCGGAAAATTTGCAATTTATATTCAAATTAATGTTTTCTTCCATTCCAATTTTATTTCCAATCAAAAAATATCTAAAAAGCATCAACACAAAGCTGAATAAAAACAAATAATGTTCCATTGAATTCCACCAGAAAAATATCCCCAAATATAACTTTCGATTTCGGTGGAATGACTCCACCATTTCCGCCTCTTTCTGTGCTCCCGTCACCCTAAAAGGATCATCAGATTTAATATTTCAGTTCATCCATCACGGAATTCCTGGGCGAAAAGGATCTCTTCCTCTTTTCAAGCCGCATCAATCTTCAGATTGGATGACCAGATTGCATTAAAAGGGCGCCTGCTTGCTTTTCTCCAATTAATCTCTGCAGTCAAGAAGCAGCAGGTGACCTTTCGTCGCCAAAGCAAGCATTCGTCCTTTTTCGAAATCTCTCATCTCACCTGATGTGAGTCGACATTTGCATGCGGTGACCGAGTTCGTGAAGCGTGAAACTCGCTTACGTGTATGCCATGCATGTCACCGCGTGCTCTCGTTTTAATGCATTTCGTAACAGTTTGCTCATCAGGTCGATCAACCAAGAGCGCAAGAGGCTGGAATCGCGTTTTACGCGTAGATGGAGATGCGCCGCGCGTTTTGCATCTCCGCGAAAGCACAGGAAACCGTAAAGCAGCACTTATCGCCCACTTAAACGCGCTCGCGCGATGAAATAATAAAAGTGCAAGCAATATTTATTTATACGCGTGGCGTAAATTTTTTAGTGCCCTCTTCAACCGTTCTGATCAATAACTGGCGCTGGCGGCCATAATGCATAAGGAGAGAGAGAGAGAGAGAATGTAGCGGGTAGCCACGTTTTTTTAGAAAATAATAATAACAAATAAATAAATAAATAAATAGTGGCAGTAAAATTAGAATTAATTTTAAAAAAAAATTTTATCAGAACATAAAATTGAACAAAAATCTCAACATAATCTGCACTTTTGATAGTGAAAATAAAAAAGTTTTTTCTTTTTAATTAATCTGAAGCTTTTAATATTTACAATGGTTGAAATTAATTAATAATGTCTATCTGCCTGTTTAATCGTCATGTCATTGACTATGCGTAGACCTCATTATAAACCAAGCCAACTATACAAATCAATAATTTCTAAGCTTAGTTATCTAATATTTACAATTAAATTATCAATTAGATAAATTAAAATTAGAAATAATATAGAAAAAAGTATTGAATCAGCATTTGGATAAAGATAATTAGAGTTTTGAAGTCATGATTGGACTTCAAATACACTCTAAACTAACGAAACTAACAAAATGACATTAATTTAAAAATATTATGCTTATGTTTTAATTTAGCTCTTTTGACCTTGCACTAAATTTAATATTACAAAATGATTGGTAATTTATGCGAGTACGTTTTTTTTTAATTTCTCGTATTGAGATCTTTTTATAATTTTATCGTTTTTTTTTAAATTGTAAGTATTATTGGATATAGTTTAATTTGACAGTTGATAATTTTCTGACGAAATGTGGGGACCCGTTATATAGCAGAAGAGAAAATATTCCAGAGCCGTTTTATCTGGCGTGCCCCGCCGCGTGTGTTTACCTTGTCGGAATAGCACCACCTTCGACGCCGCCGGATCTCGTTGCTCTCCCTTCCGCTGAGGGTGTTGGCAAAAAAATGTATATTTTGTCCGAACACAAAGTTGAACCTTCCGCCCACGCGCACGTCGAAAAAGGAGCAGCAGCTTGGCCGCTGCATAATTCAGTTAGGGCGAAAGCGGGCGGAAAAAATGAAATGCAATAAATTCGGGGGCGCTCTTTATGCCTTTGCGCGAATTGCTTTTTGCGGCTTTTTAATTTTTAACGGCCGACCCACGAGCGCGCCCGCAGCCGCGAAAAGCCACTTTGCCGTCGAGATTACCACCCTTACGTAGCTGGAAAAATTCGGCCGCCCACGCGAACCCGAGCAAAGTAAACACGAGAGGGCAATTTCAATAAATTCAAATGGTGCGGAACGTTTGTTTTGCGCACGGTGCTGAGCAAAATGGAAACACCACTATTTTTGTTTTATTTAAATTTATTATCTTAGTCGCCTGTAACGCTCGATATAAATATGTAACTCCGTCTCTCGTGCCTCGTTCATCCACTTCGGCTCCAACAGACACGCACCTGCCAAACGTTTTGAGCGACTCGAACCGCGACGACGAGACAAACCGAAACCGCCGAACGAATAATAGAATATTGACAAGCGAGCGATCGTGGGAGCGACGTGCTGTTGGCGTTTGCAAATTTACCGATCCCGCAACACGCACCGACACATGTCGGAAAATTTGTAGAGATGAAATGTGATTATGACCGTTGATTTTGTGCCGACTTGCAAAACAATGTTTCATTCTAATGTCAATGCTCATCATAATTTTTCTGGTTTTGAAAACCAACAAAAAAGTAGGCATAAATAATGAGATTTACTCAGGATTTTCACATCATTCATTCCGACAGAATTTTTATAATTTTTCTTTCAATTAATGTGAACAACTTGTTCATTTACATATAAATTAGATAAATGAGATAGTCAGGGGAATACGGAAAGTTATTAATATTCATGAATTTTTCAAAATTATGTGAATTCAAGAGAAGACGTTTGTGAAGACAAAGGCTTTGTCTCCCTTTATAAAATATTTTGTACACACAAACAAGCGGTTATTCTATATTCAGGCACAGTTTAGAACCCTTGATGATTTAAATGTTTACGTATTTATAGCGCGTATATTCACTTAAATTGCAATTATCACTTCATGATATAATAATATTATTATAAATTAAGTGTCTGATTTAGAATTTATTTCTTTTGTTCATTAAGTTAACAAATACAATACTTTTATTTTAAATTTTTGTGAATATAAACGGTCCACAAATATTCTTAGAATGAAAATGAAAACTTTCAAAAATCTTTAAGGAAGGTACTATTTAATATTATTTTTAATACACAAAAATTTAATAATTACTTCATAGCAACTCTTAATAGTTTTAATAGAAAAAATAATAACTTGTAAGATTATGTTCGTTCACCATGCATCACGAAAAATTGAAAGCTGCCGGCCGTAAATCTCCTTACAAATTTGAAGGAATCATAAAATATAAGGCCTCCGTTTATTTTCTGTGATTTATTCCAGACAGTGTGTGCGCTTAAACCTCCGAACCATTGTCGAAAATCGATGTTCTCGCCCCGTGTCACAAATTTATGCCCAGTTTACAGATTGTAAACGCACGGTATTTCACTGTCCTTGAAAGATTTCCATCTTCGCGGGAGGGCGCGGGGGTGCAGCAAGAATGTTCTATTGGCCCCGAGATACTTTCGCCCGCACATGTTTTCTCCTTAAAAAATAGGCTCTCGCAATGCACACACCAACGCGCGATAAGAATCACTTGCTTCAACGCCCTAGCCAAGCCCTACGGGGTCATAAGATGTGCGTGCGACAGAAAAAGTTAATACTGAAAATGGTGCGCGCAAGAAGTGGTGCTTCGAGCGCAGACCCAGGATATTAAAAGTTTCAAGCTAAAATTGCCAAATCTTCAGTTGTTAAATAAAGTTGGTTGAAAATGCTCATCATAAAAAAGCAAGTGCATTATATAGCCTGCTTTTATTTTGTATTGTTTAAACAAGTGTCTATTTTAGCATTTTTAAAGCTTGTAATACTTAAATTTTTAGAGGATGAAAACAAATATAAAATTGATTGAGAGTTGAATTTGAAGTCGACTTTTCCTCGGTTGTTTCTGAAGAACAATATCCTGCACTACATGTTTTAGCTGCAGACTGCAGCCATAATTCATGAGCAGATAATTATTTGTGACAAAATGACATTTTAATTGTTCTCGAAAATGAACTTAAGAATGAACATAGCATTAAATTACAATTTTTAAATAATAATATTTTATCTTTTTTATTTGTAGGAAATACTGAAAATTAATTAATGAATTTTGTCAACGTCGGGAACATGTGTATGTCAATCTTAAGACGAATTATTCTAGATAAAAATACAATTTAGTTATAAAAATGGCATGATGCGATTTTTTGATATTTAAACAAGTCAAAAAAGTCGGTAACTTTCAAATTTTTATACAAAAAAGTAATTCCATCTCATTTCTCTCCCTGTTTGCAAATAATAATAATAAAATTCATTCTGCCTTTCCTCTGCTTGCAAAAGCTGAGAGAGTGGATATGCACGATATTTTGCTTACGGCAGCAGAGCAAGCAAGGCCGATGGCGTAAGCGAAAAACAAAGTCAGGCACAGCAAAAAGCTTTGCAGATTTTCCATGCAAAATTCCCATTAGAGAGAGAAAAAGCCGCGGGTGGTGCCCGGGCCGTCGAGTTAACTAAGGGAATCGAATATGAGTAGTGTGTGTGTGTTTTGACTCACCTGAGCAGGCCTGCGGGGGTAGGGGGAAGATGAGGGTGGTGGAGCTTTTTCTGCGGGCGACGGCGCATCCGAGGCTCTGCGGCTTGAAGGAGCGCAGCTGCTGCATGAAGTCTGAACACTCCATTAGGGCGACGTCGGCAAAGTGCAGGTCGCACAGAATTTGGTTCTTGAAACGCCTCGCGCGCTTCTGATTAGGTCCGGTCAGATTCAGGCCGCACGAGTTGCACCGCAAACATTCCTCGTGGTAGTGGTTGTTGTCGTACAGCGGCGACGGCTCTGCAACAGACAACAAGATTGTTTTCAAAATGACATCCAGAAAACTTAAATAATTATTATTTTACTTTCTTTGACAAATGTTTGCCTTATTTAAATTATAAAATTGGATATGGAAATTTTTTTTAGTTTAGTGAATCAAGTGATTCTAAAAAAAATCCTATAACTAAATACGGACTAAATGTGAATCTAGATTGGAAATATTGACTTACACTTCTCTAAAAGTAGAAAAACTTAAATTTACTTAATATAATATTAAGTTACTTTAAATTCAATTAATTTTACTTATTTTTCTCCAATCCTAAATAAGTAATAATTAAAAAAAATCATATTAAATTTCTTTTAGAAACCCCCTTATTTTATGGAAAGAAAAACAGGCTTTGTCCTTGTAAGTTTTAGTAAGATTTAAAAATATTTTGTATAAAGGGTGTTTTTTTTTGCAATCTAGCAGACTTTCTGTATTTTTCTTGAACAAAATTCACACAAAATAGGTCACAGACCGTGACCAAAACTGATGTATATTTATTTATTTTATTAGTCGTTTCTCTACTAAAAAATATGTTTTTAACACCAACAAAAACCGTTTTCTTTACTTTCAATATTGCCTTTTAAGTGGTTTATTTTTCAAACACCTAATTTTTAAGTATTTTTCTTTGAATAATAATAAAGAAAAAAGTATATTAATAAAATGGAAAATTAAAAAATAAACATTTTAAGGAGACTCAATTTTCTTTTCTTGGATTTCTTACACGAGTGTCAGGCCGACAACGGCCATTCTTCAAAATGCATAATTCATGAGGGTGCACGCCAGATTTTATTATATCTCGCACTGACCAGTGGAGGGAAAAGCATGTCCTTCTGCCTTCGTTGGCTACTCGCAAGGAATGCGAGCGCCTGACTTATTGTTCCCATTCCCGGAGGTGTTTCGCCGCCGGATTCGCACGCCTTTTCGCGCGCGTGCTTTGAGATTTTCCTCTCGGAAGGAAAAACGTGTATAATATTCAGCTCTCTCGCGCGAGCCTGCACCTCTTTCAGGCGAAAGTGTGTGCTAACCCGCCCGGCACTCTTGCAAATTTGAACACGTTCGCGCGTGAAATACGATTATATTACATTTTTATGCCCAGTCTGGATAGAAGAGATGCGGGTTTTAATTACAATTCCAAACTCGTAAAAAATTTTCAACCCTTTCATCCCATATTACGAACATTCTAACTTTTTAATCAAATGTATCTATATATTATATATATTTAACATATATTTTTAACATACTTTAACATCAAAAGGCAGTGAATAGGTATCATTAGGATAGATAATGCTTTTATTGTAATGACAACAATTTATATTTAAATTATTACAAAATTTATTTTTCTACCTTGATTTATATCTCATGCAAAGGAAGTAACAAATAACTGTTGAATTCAAGTTATGCTTTTAAAAATTAATAATTTAAATTAATGTAAAAAACACGCAAAATCAGAAAAATCAAAGAAGTTACTTTAAAATTGATTAAATTTTATTATGTTGAAATTGTGTTAAAATTTAATTTTTTAGTTCTAGTGTAAAAATTATTGCTTGACAAAATTAAAAAAATCTGCAGTCATGTTTTTCTGCAAATTTTCAAGTATCGTAAGCAAAGAATTAATACTTTCAATTATTCTTTTGAAACCTTCCAAATTTCCTAAAGCGTATTTATTGATAAAATAGAGGATGCTTTTTTATTATTCAAGCTTAATATTATAAAATAAATGACTAACTAACAAATTTTGATCTGAAAGCAGGGATACAACACAAGTATAGAAACATTTGAACTTGAATAAAAAGCCTTCAAAAAGCTTTATAGCTATCGATCTGCCCTCGAACAATGAACTTTCCTTTCTGCCGGGTTGCCAAAATGGATTTTTAAGCGGCGCCGATTGAAAAGTAATTAAGGAGCCGTGTGAGCCACAAGTGGCGCCGTGATTGGATTTCGGAGGCGCCGAGGCGGCAATTTCTCGCCAGTCGATGGATGGATGGTCGAGTGGACTAGATTTGGCTCGGGCTGGCGTCGGGGGCGGCGAATCTTTTTCTAGGTTATGCAGCCAGCGTGTGACCTCTTATCGGGAGTGAGTTGCAATGCATAGCCATAGAGAGAGACTACGACGAAGACGTGGCACACATAAAACCCACCAGCTCTATACACAATATATAAATTACGAGACGGCCTCGGGCTGAGAGGAAATTATCGGCGATTTTACTTGCGTTTTTACGGCTCTCGATTTTTATGGGCTTGCCCGCTTGGGCGCTCTCTTTAATTTTCCAAAGTGTGCAGAGGGCAGAAATTAGCACCACGCCCGGCTTTTGCCATTGGTCCAAGTGCCGGGGATCATTAACGAAATCGGTCTCGCTCGCTCGCAACTACTTCCGACTTTGAGGCGCTCGTCAAAATTATTTCGAGTGCCGCTCTTGCGCTAATTGCGGATGGAAACTTTCGTGCAGCCGAAAGCAGACGCGTTTTGATTTTTAATCTTTTGGTCGCAAAAGTTTGCAGTTGTACTTTCTTGGAAATTTTGTTTTAATAAACCTGTCGTTGTATGCGCTCGCATGAATATAAAGCCTGCTATAGCTGCTCGTCGTGCTTGCACTGAGGCTTTGAATATATTAATTCTGCTCCTCTAACGGATTAATTTTGCGCCGCTCTTTGACGCTCGCGGGCTTCCTTCTTGCCGCCTGTTTAACTTATTAGGTACGAATTCAGCACCTACACTATAATTCTAAATTAATGGCGAGACAACTTCAATTAAACTTGCATTTCGCAAAAAGACGATCTTAATTACAAAGCAAGGATTTATTCATTTATAATTCCTCGTAATTCCACGTCAAAAGTGTAGCTGCCAACATAATTAATTTCCATATAATAATTTAGAACATTTTCTTAAGATGACGATGAACTTTTCTGCACATGTATAATAACGAAGCGTGGAAATATTCAAAAATTAACAAAAATTACCAAAGACGTTAAAAATCTTCTACTAGAATATTATGTCATGTTGTCGTATTAAAGAAAAATCAGCCTAAGCCTAAAATAATTAACAAAATAAAGGCTTCTGTGCGCAGTTTAAATCTCTTTGATAAGTTGATGGAAAGTATTATGATCAGTGATTCTATCCCTGTCATAAATTGTTATTTAATTAAATTTAAATTGATTTCTCTTGCAACTTTAGACTGCTAAGTTTTCCACTCTCAGATAGAAAGTTTGTATAAATAATTTTAGCCGCCGAATCGATTTCTGGGTTGAAAATTGAAATTCAATGCATTAATTCACTACAAGTTCTTCTCCCATACCGTTCTTTAGTCAGTTTGAACAAATTGCTATAACAACTGATCTTATTTCAGGAAGTTAGTCGGATAATTATTATTCAATGATATTGCTCTAATTGGAGATGAAAATTTTTTAAATCGTTTTTTATTAATTTCTCTTTGATTTCCCTAAACATTATGTTTGGGGAATCGGTACCTTGGTAACAATGCAAGATGATGAGACTTAACATGTATTTTTTTGGCGCAAAATAATAACTATTGGGAAAAAGAGAAGGAAGAACCCAGCAAAGAAATGGCGATTGTTCTTGGCCAAAATCTAGCTCTTAATTGGCGTACCTTCTTTACTGGCGCCTTCTTTCCTCGGTGTTTATTATATCGATCGAGCCACCAAGAAACTTTGCGACTTCTGGCTGGAGCGTTGTGGCCACCCGTGGCGGAAAAATCACTTCATATACGGGGGGCGCAGCCGGTTCCAGGAAAAAAACAAGCTTTTTACGCGCCAATCGAGACAGGCGTTTTTCGCACGTGCTCTGCTGCTGCCTTTCTCCGTTTTTGTCCCCACCACTGCCAAGAGACGCAATTAATATATATGATAAATAATTTGGCCCCGAGAAGCCTCGGAAGTCTCGTAGCGACAAAAACGAGGCGTGATTTAATTAAACTCGTCACACAAACAAATTTCGGCAATAATTAAATCAGCGCGAGAAGCTCCGAGGGGAAATTCTACTTCTCGCTTGGCATTCCGGCTGCAAACCGCACTCGCTGCCTAACGAATGGGGCACATATTGGTCGGGCGAAACCTGATATGGCTCGTTGCTGCACACACACATCCACCGCGAGAACGTATATTTATATAAATTGGGCACATCCATCACACGTCGGCTCTGCGTGCTTTCCGCGCTATTTTCTGCGAGATATCGTCGGGCATTAATGATCATGTGCGTGGCCGTTTTAATCAGCGAAATTCAGAAGCCAGGAAATCTCCCGTTGCCGCGAAGGCCAAATGTGTCTGCTCCCTGGTTAAAGCGTTTTAGGTTTCGGACTGATGAAAAAGGTGAGCCTCGCTGGTGGTAAATAAAATAAACGCTAATGGAGATAATATGCCCTTAGAAAAGAGAAAAATGTTTATACAAAGAAATTCAAAATATTAAATTTATTAAATTTATATTTAACTTTTAATTTTAACATTATTTCATTTTTATGATTGATTCAATTTAAACAAAAAAATATACAATCGTTTTATTTAAAGAATATAAATACATAATATTTTTGATAAAATTAAAGTTATAAACTTGTTCAGCTCACTTGCTGATTAATGGAATTAATATGATAATTGTATATATTTTGGAGCCAATCACATCATCTTCATGTATTTTCGATATATAATTTTAATATATGATTCTGAGCTTGCGTATTATGTTCAAAATAGATTAAGTTGATTTAAACTTATTAGCTATGATCGAGAGATGGAGGATCAAATTTCATCAGGAGGAAAATTTAAAAAAAATATATGCGTTTTTGATAAATTATGTTACTAGTAGCAAAATTTTCATTTCTCCTATTATTCTTGTTTTTTAAATATTATTAAAAATTTGCCTCCTATTTGGAATAAATAATTCTTGCAATAATTGGTATATATTTTTTTTAACCTATACGTTTTGAGCATTCAGGATTTCTAGCTATAATATACATTTCCATTTTGAACGGCTGCAAAGGCAGAGCACCAGTCCTAGAGGCACTTCATTCGTTTTAAAACACTTTCATCCTCCTTCCCTTCCACACTGTGAGGGACAAGGGCTCTTATGCTTTAAACTCGCGTGTCGGGCCGCTTTATTGCATCGACAATCCCTCGAACAATGCTTTGCCGTTTGCTCTGTTTGTGTATGTATTCGTGGGCAAGCAAACTAAGTAAGTCGAAAGTTGCCCGGATCACTGTGGCGACTGGTGAGCGAGCAAGAGGCACCAGGATTAGGGTCCTCCTCGTTGTCGGTGTACTTATTGAAAAACTTTTGGTTCGGTTTTGCCACCTGTTATGTTCCACCACACGCCTAAAGAAGAAAATATAAAGAAGAAAGAGAGGGACGCGTGCTCTTTACCTATTTTGGACTTATTGTGGAATTAATCGGCACGCGCTAGACCCGTAATTTTGCTAATTTCAGGTTTTGTCCCCTTATTTCTGATAATGACTCCCAGCACGAACCGTATTTTCAACATTTTTATTAATAATTTTCAGTTCATTTCGTGCTCGAAACTCGTTGATGTTTTATTGACGCAGTTCCTAGAGAGTCGTATAAATGGTAATTTATTCTTGTGCGCACAGGAAAGCAAATTTCGCCGTTTAAACGAGCAAATCCGACTTGTTTAGGGTTCGATCGTTGGATGATTTATCATTGCCAACCTCCGGCCGGCGAGTGTGCATTGATTTTGCACGGCGAGTGAGAGCTTTTTAACTTGTTAGTCTCTCCTGGCTGCCTTCTAATTAATTTTATCTCTCACTCGCCGGAACAAAAGGGCGGAAAATTTCAACATTTGGCTCGCAGCGTCCAATTATAACATTCGCTTTAACGAATTAACGAGGGACTGACAAAAATAAATTGTAACAAAATCGTCCGCACACCTGTCGAGTCGGTCGCGAGGAGAGGCATAAAAGAAATCCTTTTTTTAACAAGGCGGCACACAAGTGCAGCAAATTACGCCGTAATTGAGACCACCCGAGCCGACTTCAAAGCAAAGTCGTGGCGGCAATCAAGGCCCTGGACTCGCCCCCGGGGCAGCACCGCCCCCGCTGGCTGACTGACCTGCTTCTTCTGGTTGGCTGTTGGTCACAGGTGAAAGTCTTTGCTCACTCGAACTGGCTCTCTCGAAGCGAACAGCTGGCCTCACGGGCGCACTGGTCATAATCCTGGGGCAGAGGGTGCTCCGGGGGCCGTTCACATGGCGGGGTCAGCCGCCCCGAGTGGCGAACAAGTGCGTCTCGGGCTGCAAGAAAACGCCACTCATCGGGCCTGCCGACACACTGCTGCTGCTTCTGCTGCTGAGCCCTCAGTTTTCTCCGGTCCTTCGTGCCGTCGGTGTGTGTTGGTAGTGCGCCCTTGCGCTGTTGCCGCTCCGCAGAAAGGGCGCCACCAGGCAACGCCGCCCCTCGCCTCGCCTGCCCATGTGATCGCCCGCTCGCTCCCTCTTCCTGTGCCCAATCACAATATTTAGGTCGGCGTGCACTTAACTCGCGCGCGCCGCTGAAACTCAATCCCTGCTCTCGCAAAGTGAGTGACTCAAGTGACTCGCTCTCTCGCTGGCACGCTTTTTGTTAGATCGCTCTCTCGCGCGCGCGTTATGTTCGTTCGTTCCTCCGCTGTTGTGCGACAACGACTCGGCAAATATGACAATGCCCCTCGTTCCGAACCACCGACGTCGCCTCCGCCGCCTCCTCCTCCGCGGTGAATTTTACACCGAGACAACTTTCAGCATTCGCTCGCCCGTCCTCTCTGCTCGGTGAAATAAACTCGTCCGACCGTCGCTGCCCCGGCTCGATTGTTTCCGGGCTCCCGCCGCCCTCCGTACAACGCCCAAAGCCCCAAAATTTACGTTATGCTTAAAATATTATTTCAAGTCATTAGTAAAATTAAATTTTTAGCAATTTTTAAATAAGGTAGCTATTTTTTATCACTGTATGTGCAGGGATTCAATCATTACTTTTGCTTAATAGTATTTTTAATAAAGATAGTATTTAAATATTTTTTTATTTTAGATAATATATAAGGAGTGTATTTCAATTTGTTATTATATCAAACAATATTAAAAATAAAAATCATAGCAAAGTTTAAATAATAATAACTTTTTACACAATATATAACAATTATTCTTTTAAAAATGAATGGATGGAATGCTATTAGTGTACACCACAGGTCCGCTAGACAGCAATACAATCCTATAATATATTTTCTCTATCATTAACATTATTTATCATTAATATATTTTTTTAATGTTTTATGAAATTTAAAAAAAAAATTTTAATGCGTCTTCAGTGGTTTACAATTTTACTGATCAAAAAATCAAAACTTTTTAATTGGTAATAATTATAATGCAATCCTGGCTTAAAATCATAACAAGCATTTTAATTTTTTGTTTGACTTGTTGCGAGAGAATAAATTAATTGAATTGAAGCATTCCTAATTCTATAATGTAAATTATCATATTTTGTGATATTTTGCACTGATAATTTTACAGAGATATATACTTTTAATAAATAATATATGAATTCTGGAAAAGTAGAAACACTCCAAAAATCCTCGAAATTGGATTCCATCGTGATGGATGGGAACGACGCCATGTTTCCTTTTTTCTCTTCACGAGAATCTGACGGTTTTTCGAAGAAATGGAAAGAAAAGCTCGCAAGTGTGGTATTGCGAGAGATGGCGTTTTCGCAGAACAGAAAACCCCCATCTCTCCATTTCGTTTCTTTCGTTCTCACTCCTCTGGCAAGCACACGCCACCACATAAAATATTCATAAAACGCGGCGTCTAAGTGACAACCGCAGCAAATCGAATTACTGCCAGCCTCGCTCCACACGACCGTCTATGCAACCAGTTTGTCCGACTAGCCTACCAGGTTGCATACCACCAAAATCGGCAGGCGCCCGTTCGATAGCGCGACGCGTAATAGAACGAACCTGAGCTAGCTGGGATTTGAAATTCAATCATGCGTGCCGATCGAATTGCAAATATTCTCTGCGGCAAAAAAAATATTATTATTTATTTTGCACAAATTCCATCGATTTCCGGCGTCCCTCTCTTTCTCTTTCACCAGACATTTTCGCGCCCCCGGCGGAGATACATGGCGATCAATCATCGCGCCCAAGTTCATTGTGCGAGCGTCCGCAAGGCCGCACGAGCAACTTTTTCCGCCAAATGTCAGATTCGCAGAGCTTATCTGTGTGTTGGCCCTCGTAAATTGATTTGTACCGTTTCATCTATCATGGTCACGACCTCTTTTGAATGATGAGTCCCAAGCTCCGTTGTAATTTTAGAACATCATTGATCAACCCAGCTGGCAGGAAACAGATTCGTTTATTAGATTTTTGGTTTGCAACTTTTTCTCTGGAAACTACGTTACGAAATCAGTTTAAAGTTTTAATCAAATTTGAAGAAATTGATCGTCGAAATAAAATTTCCATGTGAAGGAAAAACTAATTTCTACAAGTCTGTTTTACAACTCTCTGTTAATGATTAACGATAAACCCAAGAGGATTAAGTGGTTAGTGAAGTTACCCCATTATCTCGGTGGAAACTTATTAGATTTGCAAATTATTCACACAGAGCTGCATAAAGAATCAGGCGAGGCAAATGTTTACCCAACAAAGTGGAAGTAATTCCATCTTGCTCCGACAGGGTAAAAAGACGGCTGCCGCGATATTAAAAAAAAGTCCCAGCGTTACTCGAATCTCATTTTGTAATCTCTTTGCGGTTTATTCAAATAAGCGCGGTGGAGGCCGTCGGCCGGATACCGAGGTAAAATGCAACAAGTGATTACATCAAATGAAGTATAACAATGCAGCGAAGCTCTATCTCGTGGTGGAAGCGGCCACTAATAAAGTCCCGACCGCGCTATTTACGATTGCAAACTTTGCAGAGCTCTAATAATGCGCGCAAACTTTGGCTGCGGGCTGTAATTCATTTACGACAAAGTTCGGTAAGACTCAATAAATTCTAAGCAAAAGTTTTTTGCGGTTCACAATAAGGCAGGGCAGAGTTGTGGTAGGAAATTTTCTCAACAATCGATTACGCGGTACATGAATTAGTGCATTTTATATTTATAGCTGAAGTTTGTGAAATTATTGCTTTAAAATTGACTCTATTAATCTATTTTGAAAATATATTTACATTGGTAATTTGAATTTAAATTCTTTCTAAATGGGTTTTGTGTGTTGTTTATTGTGTAAAAAAAACTGCTTATAGTGCTTATTATAAAAATTAATTTGTTACAAAAAGTTTGTATTCAATTTTCAAATTTTGTGCTAAAAATTGATTTCTGAAAAAGAATTTTTTCACTAAATATTGTTAATTTGAAATTAAAAAATATTTTTTAAATCTAAGATTGATCTTTGTATAATAATTCTTCCCAAAAAATGATTCTACAGCTCATGAATTATGGCTGCAGCCCGCAGCCGAAACATGTAGAGCAGGATATTGTTTTTGCTTAAACAATAAACAACTCAAAAAACCTACTGAGGATTTTAAATTCAAATCACCACACCTCAGTCGTGAAATTCTACCCAAAAAAAATTTGTATTTCATACATATATAATTTAGTCTCAACGTATAATTAAGTGGTTCTTTTTTTAAATTTAGTAATTTTAATTTTCCCCACCAGATATAAAAAATTTGAATGATTTAGAAAGTGCAAGACGTGCAGAAAGCAGTCTTACCTGTTTGGGTGCTCGAGTCGAAAAACGTGCTGGTCGTCTCGACGGTCATGGTGGCGAGGGTGCCATCTGTGATTTGAGCGCAGGAATCTCGACGACCCCTGCTGCGCGTGAATTCATCAGACTGGCTTGACTGGCGCCGAAAATTCCGGCAGCGAATCATTTCTTCCGTCGTGCTCTGGCGTCTGAAACCCCTGGCGATCAGGATTTCCTCTGTGGTCGACTGTCGCCTGATCGGAGGTGCTTTCGGCGACGGGTCGCGTGACGAGCAGGTCGAGCTTGAATCCGGTGACCTTCAATCAGCCAAGACAAATGTCATATAATATTAATGTGATTACACAATTGCACACACTGATTTATTTTACTACGATCCCTAAATTTTTAATACAAGTTTAAATTTAAGACCTTACAATATCATAATTTAATTTTTATCACAATTTTTTTTTAATAAAATACCGTTTTGTTTAGAGAAATTTTGAATCAATAATACTTTCTGCTAACAACTGCAGCGGCTCCCCAATCTAAAAAGTGACTCTCAACAAATCAGGCGGCCAGAGTAAACAAAACTTGTATAGCAAATGCGCAGAGTAAATTGTCATGAGCTCACTCACAATCAGCGTAATAAAAAGCCCCTTAAATCTGAAGATAGGAACAAGTAGACGCTCCATCCTCGCGCCCTTGACTCGAGAGGAGCGTCCGCGTCGGAATGAAAACATTCTGGTTCAGACGCATCAATTACGGCAGTGCTAATTTACCATTGAGTTTCTTTCACAAAAATTGCTCAAGAGAAATGAAAAGATCCTCCTGGGTCTTCCTTACAGAAATTTTCTACTCGCCTAAGCGAACACCTTGCGACTTTAAGCACGCCACAGTCAAAGGCACTTCATGTCATGCTTTCAAATGTTGAGATTGAGTCGCCGCGCTTTTAAAAATTTGTTTTAAAAAATTTTATTTGGAATGAATTAATTTGAATTTTATTTTGTATATAAAAAATTACAAAAATTTAAAATCTTATGTCTGACAGAAATACAGTTGGATGATCATTCCTGACATCACTGAGCTTTATTTGAGAACCTTTTAACTTATTATTTTATTTCCCATCAATTTCAGTCAAAATTGAAATATGAGTGAAAATAAACCTTTTTTTATTTTATTATAAGTATCATCGAAGAAGATAATAAAAATAAAAGTTTTTAATCTTCATAAAATATTTAAATGATTTAAAATATTCAATTTTAAAAGAGTTAATACATTAAAAAAAATTGGGATTAAACTATAACAAATAATTATTTTGTTACAAATATAGTTTGGTAGGTTATCATTGCTTGTTTGAAGTGGCGCGCCCAAATTTTAATAAAATATTGTGTGCAACTTCTACTCCTCTTTGGCACTTCATAACGGCCAATAATTGTTGCCCAATTTCGTTTCTTAAATTTTTACAGAATACAACCTATACAATTTGAATTGCATTGGAAAAAACAAAGCAGGCAAAATATGTATTTATAGACGCTTGTCTAAAATTATAGTAGCTTTTAATGTAAATTAGCATTCCAAGGAAAATGGGCAAAAATTAATATCCGTTTCATTTGCTCTTTTTAATCAATGCAACAACTAAAACTATGCAAACCTTGGAGCTCTCGAGCTGCGTCTAGTTTCTCCACCGGTGGTTGTGGTGGACTGTCTTCTAAGGCGTCTCCTGGGCGAGGCGTCCCTGTCCCTATCGCTGCCACCACTTCTTTCAGGTGAAAGGTGCGTTTTCGAGTCCCTCCGTCCTCTTCGCTCAGGCGACAGATGCGTTTTTGAATCTCTGCGTTTTCTTCTCTCAGGCGACAGGTGAGATTTTGAGTCTCTGCGACCCTTGTGCGCCATGTTGCCGAATCCGTCCTTGGCGGCCGAATCGGGACTTAAGGAGTCGCGGCGCGCTTTTCTGCCGCTCTCGTCGCTCTGCTCAGGAGACAGCGACGGTTGCGAACCGCGTCGGCCGTAGTTGACGGGAAGAGAGTCGTCGATGGCCGTCGACTGGCGCGGAAGACGGGGAAATTTTGGGGAGGCCTCTTTACTGGTGCCGCTTCGACCTTCAGGGGAGATTTGCGTCCGCGAGTCACGGCGACCTTTATAGTATATCTGGAAGGTTCAAAAAAAGATTAGTAAGAAAATTGTTAATTATTAAATAATCAAGCTTTAATTATGAAATCAAGTTGACTAAAAATAAAATAAATAAATCATTCGATTTAAAAAGACTACAGGGCAATTTTTTAAATAATGGTTGGACCTGCATAATCCATAGCCTGGTGAAAATTGAAAATTCCCTTTGTTTTCAAAGAAAAAAAAGGCGATTAAGTCTAAGAATTGTGAGTTAAATAATAAAATTTAAAGCCAAATATTCGTTTTCAATTCCACTAGTACCGGTGCTACTTGTTAAATTAATTAATCTTACCGCGAAAAAATTTTAACCCTTTGCAATGTGTGTTTAAAATTTGTGAATACTTCATTTGCATAATAAAGTTTTATAAATTGCAAAAAATATTACGGGTAGCCTTAAAAGATTAAACTCGGAATCAAAAAGAACCGCTTATAAAGTTGTCGAGAATAACTTGTAAATCAATTTTTCTCAAAATAGTCTTTATAAGCTTGCATATTTCGGATCGGATTTACATAATACATGTGAATATTTTTCACCAGCCTGTTAAATCCATTTCATATTTTCCAGCGAGTTATTGCCACTTGCAGGCGTGCCATTCACATAAAGGAAGTTGATCAATTTTAACAAAGATCAAATTACTTAGTAGGCGGTTCATGTTTTCTCAGCTTTTATATAACGATTTTGCTCGGCGCTTGGTTCTGTCAAGCATATCAAATAGAGTGAGTGGGACGTGAGGGGTGGCGAAGACGAAAGTTTGTCAAAGCAAGCGAGGCGGACGCACAAAAAGCTCTCGGGACTTTCGGAATTCCGGAGAAGTGAGCTCGCGTGTTTGTGCGTGCAGCTCGCATTGCAAATGTGATGTTTATTCAGCCGCCAGTCGTGCAATCGCAAAATAACAGTTGCAAATGGATCTCGTTATTTTTCTCCTCTTCCATTCCTATTCTACATCAAAATACGCTAATTGCCGGTTAGTGCTATGAAGTTATTCAGTGGAATGATTCAATAAATAATTTTGCTGTTTGCGAATTCAGAGCAAACACCAATTTGTGCTAAAGAACCTTTTGCTTCACTGGAAAATATGGAAAATATTTTTCCTCTGTTCCATTTTTTTTTATTGATTAAATTGCTTCCTTGTTAATAGAAAAGAAAATAGTTAACAGATCTAACAAAATTTCATCATAAAAATAATAACATAACATGGCTGAAGGATTTTATTGCAAATGGTTGAATTACTCAATGTCCCCACCTGGGTGGTTGAGTCTTTTCTAGTTGCAAGGTGTGGTGTATCAGTGGAAGTGCCGGTTCCGGTAGTGGTGGTGTTTACAGGCGAGGTGGGCGGAGGAGTTGTGGCGGTGACCACAGTTGTGGGCAGGATGGGCAGCGGCCCAGGCACGGTCAGGCCGGGACATGTCGTCGTCGACGGCTGCTGGACGAAGAGGGCAGGGCCACTTAGCGGAAAGTGGATGGGTTGTGGCGCCGCGGCGTTGTCGCTGCTTGACGACGACAGGTCCACGTTCGGCTTAGGAGTGCCCAGACCACCTGGTGCGCTGTCGGATGCCGTCGAAGATGTTGAAGGACGTTGACCCTCTCTGCAGTCACTTGACAAAGGGCTGTAATGAAGCCAATTTTTATAAATGGTGAATTCATGGCAACATATTGGGGGGTTGATTTTGTGGAAATAAAATATAACTAAATAATTCTGAGCGTAATTGTCATTCAATCTATTAACTGTTATTACAAAGCTTGAGGTTTATTATTTAACTTATGAGTTGCAATAATTACTTTAAGTTAATTTTAAATGGCAAAAGAGGTATTCATAGCTTTTAAAATGTACTTTAGGGCAAACAATTATCTTAATGCGGCTTAAAATATTTTGAATTTGAAGTTTGTTGATCTCAGATTGTTCTAAATTTATGATATTTGAACAATAAATTTAACTAACTTTTAAGCAATTATATACAATTTATATAATTGTAAAGCAAATTGCTATGTTATATAATGAGATTATTTCATTTTGCATTAGGAAGCAAAAAAGACAATTTTATGTAATTTTAATTGATCAGATTGATCTTCACAAAGATTGACTAATGTGGAAAATCAATAAAATATAGATAAATAATTTTAAATTTTAGTTTTTAACACATTTTTGTAGCTCACAAACTAAACATTTAAAAAAAAGTTTCAGACCTCAAACTTACCAATAAAAATATTATTAAACTTAAGGTGTAAAAAAATCTCCCACCTGTAGTACTTGCTGCTGGGGTCTGGTGAGGTGGCCGCGCTGACCCTTGACCCACGCCTGCTGCTACGCAACTGCGGCACCGAATCTTTGCGGCTGCGTCCGTCCGAGGTGGACTCTTCGGATCCGCGGCGCTGCTCAGGCGGTGGTTCCGACTGCCTCGACGAGCGCTGCCGTCGCCGCGACGAGTCTCGGCGGCCCCAGAAACGGGCGATGTCCGTCCGGAAGTCGGCGCCGCCACTAGCGGAAGAGCGGCGGCTCCGGCTGGATGCACTCTTGGTCGAGTCGATGGTTGACTCTCGGCGTTTGCGCATCTTGGTGGAGGCGTTGGTGGAGGAGGAATCGGTTGAGCGGCCCCAGGGCAGGCTGCGCGCCAGGTCAACCAGGGTGTCGCGCCGCGACAGCTCTTTGGTGCTGCGGCGCCGCGTCGACCCTGTGCCCAGGTCACTCTTGCCTAAGCCAACTCCGACGCCACTGCCCCATTCACGAAGGATGTCGGTCAGCTGCGCCAACGATGATCTGGAGAGCAGAAAGACAAATTATCAAAAAAAAAGAATTCCTCTCTGAATTTGCAAACAAGGAGGATGATTAATGATGAGTAACAAGAAATTAAATTTCAACTAAAATATTTAGTGGAATTATTCTTTTTCTTCTGTTTGTGAATTCTGAACTGACTGATTAGTTTCTCAGCAAATGGTAATTAAAAATTAATTATGTATCATCATGACTGTGCCAAACAGCCTTGGAAATTTAAATTTGAATTATTTAATCAATTTACTAACAGCTGACAATTTCACTGATAATTATTATATAAAACTTCCAGTTTCCAATACCAATTTTGAATAAATAATAGTCATATTGTAATTTAGAAATTTCCAATGAAAATTTTTAAATCTTTTTTAGTCTTCAAATTAACTTTTATTTTCAATAAAAAAAAACTAAAATTTTTTCTTCAATTATTCGAGAAAGTTAAAAAATTGTGAAGAAGAACCCCCCAAAGCCTTGTCCTGTCCCGTTCCCGCAATATCAAATCGAGAAACATGTCAAGTCTGAGAGTATCCTGTTGAAAACTTATAGAAATCAGTAATTACATGTTTTGAATTATGTAGCTAATATTTTTTGTAATTGAGCAGCTCGGCAATAACAATTTTATTTTTAATTTTCCTTTATTCTTTACAGCGTTCCAGTCTAATATACCCTAGAATATTTTACTTGCAAATAAAAGTACGGCATGAATCATGAACATATGAAAATAAGCAGTTTGAATTATTTTTTTACATCAGCAAATTTTATACTGATCTTTATTTACATATTGAGGGGCATAATGTGTTCAAACCTGCCCAATGTAAAATGATAAAATCATATTATCAAAGTAAAAGGGTTGCGTATTACGCGCGTATGCTATTAATTTACTATATTACCGATGATTACTACATTGTACTTTATGATGCATTTCAGTCATAATCATTAACTGTTATGCCCTTCGCGTTTTCTCTGGCAGGTAAGAACCCATTAAGATATTAGCTTCATGAATAATAAATGCCGTTTCAGGTTGCTAAAGCCGACTCCCTTTTAATCGATATTTAACTGACTTCTTCTCAAAAAGTTAGCGTCGGCATAAAAGATTTATTCACATCATTGAAACCAGCGCCAAATACTTTATCCTCTTATCTCAACTGAAGGGAGTTTTTGAAGGGAAATCAAGCGACGAAGGAAGTTCTTATACGCTGCTGAGTAAAACGGACGTAAAGAGCTCCATTCCGCTCGATTTTGTTGCAAAAGCAAGACATTAAAGCATACATTATATCTTGAATATAATTCTTGTTAGGACAAGAAAATTGAAAGCTATAAAATGAATCGTTTTTGAATCATTGAAATGTTCAACGTATTTTAAATTTGGTATGATACGAATAAAATAATTTAATTAATCAATTGGGACTAACCTTCGCCGTCTGCAGACAGGGGGTGAGGTTTCCCTGGTCTCGGTAGGGGGTGAAATGCTGGTGATTTGAGCGGCCGAGTCGCGCCTCCCCAGCCTCTGGCGCAGGGTGCTCTCCTCGACCTGCTCGCGCATCAGGTCGTCCCATCCGTTGCCTCCTTGCCACACCAGGCCGACCTGGTGGCTCAAAATTGGTAGATTGCACACGAAGCATATCGCTGTCATAGTTCTGCAACAGACAATCGGCGATTAGTCGGACAAATTGTGCAAGGTCGAAGCAGGCAAATGCTTGTAAGTGTGCAGCAAAAATTCAAATCACTTCAATCATTACTCATGCGAATAACGGACAAAAAGTGTAGCGGTGCAGCAGAGTATTTAACAAGAGTGAGGGCAACTTTTTACAATCTGGGGGTGAATGTAAAAATCTTTTATCAAAATACCAAGTCAGAAAATACAATTTATACAAGACGTGCCTCTAGACTTGAACTTTGTTTTCAGAATGTAACTTTATTCCTATTAGAGGTGTGAAGATGTTCAAGTATCGAGGCAGCAGTCCAAAAACTACGAACTACTGAAGTAATCAACTACAAAATTTACAATACAAGTCGTGAGAAAAGCCAAGTCATTGTATAATCATGTCGAGAGAGAGCGAATTCACTTTTGCAATGCAAAACTAATTGGAGTGCTTGTCATGCTGAAGAGAATCATTATACGGGCGGTGAGTTCTCATCACATTATTATCAAGTACATAATGAAGGAGAGAGTGCGTGGATATGTACTTAATAAATAACACACACACACACCTCGGTGCTGTCATACAAAATTCATAACGCAAAATGCTCGCTCGCGTCGGAAGTGCGCGGATATATAAAGCCTTTGGGAGCGACTGTCGTTCCGCCTTACTTTTTGCCGGCGCCTAATGGCTTGCATTTCTTAATGAACCTCATTAAAAGGGCGGTTTAAATTTCAAAGCGTCGCGAGTAACAAAGAGAATAAAATCAAACGCTTTTCGCTTCATTAGGCGTGTACCATTATTATATGGGCCTGGCAGGAGGGAATCAAGGGAGGAGAGAATTTCTTTTGGCATCCGAAAAAGCGAAAATGTTGAACAAAAGCTGTTGTTCGCTGCGATGAAAATCGGAGCAACCTGAATTAAAGCGAAATGTCGTCAAACTTTGAAATCGAACTCCGCGGCAGTTCTCTCCTGGAATACGTGCTAATTATAAAGTTGAGATTATATGGCTGATGAAGTTTGGAGTTGCTCTTTGAGAGGTTGCTGCCTTTGTATTAATTAGTGGAAAGAGCTCGATTTTTGCAAACTCGGTGTTTGTTTTGACCTCTATCTTATCAGCGCGGCGGCAGCAACAGGGCCACCGAAGCCACTTTAAAGTGGTCCTAACACAACAGGGTCGAGAGCTGCAAGGGGACAGCAAACATTTGCCAAAATAAACAAACGCGCCGCTGCTTTTATTACTTGATTGCTCTGCGTTAATAAAATTGGATTCTGCCCTCTCGCTTTTTCTGTATATTGGAACGCGGCAGAAGTTTTTTGCTGAATGAACAATAAATACTAACACATGTTTTTTTTATAGGCTCTATGGAAGGACCACATCCAAAATCAAATTAATTGGTACAAAATATAATTAAACAATTATTTTAATAGATATAACTTTATCATTTTGAAGAAAAATGTTATGTCATAAATTACATGAGTTGTGGAACTATTTCTTAACGATTACGTCATAATTATAATAATTTGATTGTATTTGTTATACAACATAGATTATGCACTATTATTTTTAGGTAACTTAATGTTCAAAAAAAGAATAAATTTTATGTATTTTATGTTTTAAAATATTTAATTGATTCTAATGTTTACTTTTACAACTTCTACTTACTGTGTTAATATTATGCGGGAAAGTATTAAAAAGACTGATTACCATATCAAAAAAATTAAAATTATCCTAAACAAGTTACACGAAAAATCCATTCTAGTATCCCTACAGCAACAATCTAAAAGATATCTCACATACAATTTATTTCGAGTTCTAAATTTTTTCTACAGCTCTTCTACAAATATTAGCTGAAATAGAGAGACAAATTATGCTCTCAGCGCTTTAATAAACCTCTTTCTGTCTCAATTCAAAAGCAAATAAAATTTTCAATTAACTTTTTGCCCATTAGTGTGACTGCGCAGGTAATAAAGCTTCCGTCCCAGGCGTTTTATTAAAATTGCGCAAATTAAAAAAAAAAGAGCTGGGATTTGAGTTTAGAACAAAAAGCTGCGCTCCTTCCGCGAAGGGGCGCACGCAAAAATCGCGCGAGACGGGCACAATTAATGCACAGCGCGCACGAAGACAAAATAACAAAAAGATACCAGCACACACGTAGCAAAAACAAGACAGAGAGAGAAACACAAAAGATGCGAAGAGAGCAGAGTAAATAAGGAAAAAAAAATATATGAATACACACCACGGTGTGCGTGTAAGATTTCAGCGGCAGCAGAGAGCGTCAGAACAATAACGATAATAAAAAAAAAAAAAAAAAAAAAACGTGAGAGAGATACAACAAATGCACAAAAGTGAGTGGAAAATGTACAACAGCTATAGCGAGCGAGAGCAGCGAGCGAGAGTAAAAAGGAGACTCGGTGTATGAATATGTGTGTAGCAACCTGTAGTGGTGCAGTCGGGGTGAGGGCAACCCCATCTCATGTTCGGCGGCGGAGGCAGCAGGTGCGGAGGAGGCGGTCGCAACCGCAGACCCGCTGACGGAGCCAGCACGAAACGCCACCGACCTTTGTCTGCGCAGAAGGCCGCGGCGTTGCGAGTTGCGTCTCCGCGTACTACCTACTCGGGCGAGGCCGCGGGCCGCGTCCGACGCATCCGTGGACACGGCGGCCGGGTTGTAGCGGGGCGCGAGTAGGTGGTGCTGGTAACTGTACGAGTGCAGGAAGGTATGGGGAAGAATGATGTCTCGTTTCGGGACGGTGGGGGACGTAGGTGAGGCGGCTAAGATGGTACTGCGGGTGGTTGAGGTGGTGGTGGTGGTGGTGGTCGTTGACACCGCGGCTGCAACAGCACACCCCTCATCTCAAATATACTTGCTAGATTATGGTCAATTATGAGTATGGATATGTTTGATGTATTAGACATGATGTATTAATTGAAAGTTCGTAAGCTCCAGGTTGAGTACTCAGAAGTGGAAAACTTTAAATCGTGTATTAAATTAGAAGAACGAGATACAGCTTTTCAAAATAATATTTGACATTACCTTTAAATGTGCTAATTCGATTTGGTTTTTCACAATAAAAAAATCTGTATCGAATATTTATTTGTGGTTCATAATTAATTCTAAATAATCGAAATTAAAAAAAAAATTACATCTATTTTTAACGTTTTTTATAATAATGTTCAATGCAATACCCCATAATTATGCTAGTCATCATATCATAATTAAAAATCTTTCACATCGCCTAAATTGTTGAAAAATCTGGAAAAATCCACATTTGTTAAGCCAACTAAAACATTATAATAATTCAAAATTAAAAAATTAGTCAAAGAAGTCTCCTATAGGTGTTTATGTTACATATGAAAAAAGATCATCTTGCCATTAACTTCAATTAATGTTTTTAGTTATTAGTGAATTTACAAATTTGAATTTACTGAAAATAGAAAATATTGGCGATAAATTTTTTTGTTTTCATACTTTTTTAAAAATTAAATGCATTGATATTTTCTGATCAATATAGTTTTTTAATTAAATATTAATTAAACAGACAATGCCTGTGTCAAGCAATAAGGAGGCTCAGTCTTTACAAAATTTGAAATTTAAAATTGCCATCGAAGCGCAGTTTATACGTCATGAATATTTTGCGTGAGGGACTATAAGGCTAAAAAAGAGATCATTTTTCACACTCTAGCGTCATCGTTCTTTAAACCAAGCATCACTCACGATGATCTCAAAGGACCCTTGCCACTGAAACCAACCAGCGGAGTACTCAACCTGCGGCAAACCATCTTTCTTCAGCTAACCACTCGCGCTCACGGACACACAAAAAGATAAAAAATATAAAAAAAAAATTCAGCAGCAAAATGAGGCAATGAAATAAAAACAAGAATTACGGTGCAGCGCGAAATGAGAAATATAAAACGGCACAATTAGATATACAAGGGGAGAAATTTGTTCCCGGCGTGGGCCGCTTTGCTTCACAGTTATATATATAGAATGTCATTTTCCACGCTGCACAACCTGTTATTTTTCTATCTCTCTCCCTCGCATTCTCCTTTTACCTGTTCCTCCATCTCATTAACGGCGCGCAAGTTGCGGTGCTAGCACTGCAAAATTGCGCCCTCCTTTTTCACGTGTAACAGGAACGCGGTAATGATGTCGGCGAATCATACTTTATGATATTTTCGCGCACAGACGCTTCAGAAGAAGAAAAGCAGCAGCTTCGAATCGCATTATGAGAACGAACGGTTTTTCCTCGTTCTCTCTTCAGACCGGCCGGGTATGTATAAAAAGGCAAAATTCCGTCGCGATAAAGAAGGGAAAAATAAATGTAGAAAATGTCTGCAAAATTTACATTATTAATAAAAAGGAGGGAAAATATTTAAGGTCTGAGGAGGGTTGCAAAACGTCAAAAACAACAGCGGCAGCCGTCGCTCGCCGCTCCTTTTATATAAAAGGCCAGGGTGTATTAAAAGCAAAAGAAAGAAAAGCGAACGAGTGAGTGAGTGAGTGAGAGAGACAGAAGAGCAAAAAAGTCGTCGTCGCATAAGTTTGGCTGCTGCTGCAAACCTGCTGCTTTAACAAAAATATCTTTTCATCATTATGTGAGCTGGGAGGGTGAATGGAGGAGGTGCCGTGTAATATTGATTTCTGAATCCCATCACCATAAAGTATGACGTCATCGGCAACGGCGAATGGAACGCGCGCGAGAGAGAGAGGTTACAGACTCTGTGAAGTATTAATAATGTGCGAGAGAGCGCATCATCCCCAGCATCGCACCGACCGAGGGGGTACCGTGTATTATGCTAATGCAATATTGTTATTTAATTAGCTCCAACTATGGAGCCGCGCTGGCTGCAAAATTAATTTTCACGATTATCGCGTTGGCGTGTCGGTGGCGGATTTATCTCGCCTCCCCCGTCAACTATAAACAAAAAGAGACCGGCCGCAAAAACGCAGCTCAAATTTGAAGTTCGGGGAAAAGTTGCTGCTCAGTCGTTAGGGTCTGCGCTATGGATCGAGCTCAAAGTGAGTTGCTTGTTGTTGGTGGTGGTGCCGTGTAAAAATACTCCCCAGGGCTACAAATATGCCGATGTGTCGGTGGTGGCGCGAGCGCTTTCAACGGCAGCGCCAATTGCGGGCACGGTACATAGATAGATGGATACATGGAGGAGGAAAGTAGCGGTGCCTTCAGGAAAATAATTATTGACAGCGTATTGATTGGTTGCGGTGCCGCGCGCGCGAGAGAGAGAGAGAAAAGGGTCGTGGTGCCAGCGAGCGAGCGAGCGGGTGTAGTGATGGGGTGTGTAGAGTATAGTAGTAGATTTCCTACCTGTTGCACTTGAGAGCAATGTGCGTTCGTTCGCTCGCTCGCGCAAAGTGCCCGCTGAAATAAAATGCGCCCCTCGTGCTCGCTGGCGCAGAGAGAGAAAGAACGGAAAGGAGGAAAATCCATTATTTGGTGTTGTGTGCCGTGTGTAGTGCCGTTATTTTGCGAAGCGAAAAACGAACGGTTGAAAAAATGGAGATGACGGGCGGGAATTCAATTTTCGCTTATCCGGGCGGGGGAGGCGAAAGACGGAATCGTAAATAACGGCAGCGAGCATCAGGTCTGTCTGCGCCAACAAACAAACAAACATCGGTGCCTGCTTTCCGATCTACGCTATTGCCAGGGTTGCACCATCAACGCCGAACGTGCTTGATGCGAAAATCGCGGCAATAAGCTGTCATGTCTGCTGTAAATCGCATACTTTGCAATGTATTTTAAAATATGATGAAATTGGCTGTTTAAAAGAAATAAAATATTACAGATTATTTCAACCCATTTCAACCTAAGGTTTCTTCCAAAAATAAGATGTACCTCTAAGTTTTAAATGACCAATAATTTATGTTTAATTTTAATTTATGCAAGGGTTTTATTTGATTGACGGAGTAGTGAAGAAATAATAAATTAAATATGAATATAAAACGAAACATCAGGATGATGATTTACTTAATAAAATATAATTTACTGGTACTGATAATTTTGCATTGCTATTTGTTAATTTTAAAATGTTCATCAACATCATTTTAGTTCTAGAAAAAAATATGAGAGCATTTCTTGATATTAATTAAGATAAGTAGCAATTTACAGAAATTTCTAGCTACAAAATTGTTATCAACGTTATTAGAAGGCTGGTTAACCAGGAATGATCAAAGATTTTCTAAAATTTTCCATACGTTCCTCTTGCTCTGTATTGTGCAAAGCTTCAAATTTGATGGTTCTTAAATTCAATGCACATTAAATATGTCATATTTGTTACAATTCAAATAATTAATTTAAATATATATATAAATTATCAAAAAAAGTATTTTTATAATTAATTTAAAAATTACAAAATGTGTTTTAAAACATTTATTGCTTTAAAAAATTATCAGTTTTAAAACTTTTATATTATTCTTTAAAAATATCTGAACGATCAATAGTACATATCGGAACGAAGAAACGGCAGACGGATGCACTACTATTATTTGTTATCGGCAGCTACTAGAGTGTGTTATTGAGGGAGCGTGTATTTGAAAGAAATCAAGGCATCGGCAGAACGCCACTTGAATCTCTAGTAGTTGTGTATGTATGAGCTGTTGTAGTCGCCGGTTGGGGCCGTTCGCCTATTATACGTGGAGTGAGTTGACGGCGGGTTTTGTTGTGTTATGTTGAATGGCGGGACGTCGGACGTCGACCGGGAAGTTTACAGTAGATTATGGATTCGAGTCATGGAAATATCACTAGAATGACATACGGAAAGGGTGCCTGCCTGTGGGCGTGCATTTTCCTGCGGCCTATTCGAGGGACGTAATTCAATGAAAATGGGGAAACGCCGCCGAAATTTGATGTACATGTTGTTGGTCCATCGCCGCAACTCCGGAGAGAGAGGAGAGAGTCGCGAGTTCCTATTGATTGCGAAAGGAAACAGACACACACACGGAGCTCAAAAATCAATAATTCCAGGCTTGTTAATTCGCCGATTGGCAATTACCGTAATTACGGTTGGCGTCTCTCATTTTTGGCGTGACAAAATGCGAGATGCAGCTGCGCAAAGGCCCGTGGGAGGTAATTTTGGTGCGAAACTTTTAAGACCGGCGAATAATTATAAGGAGAGTGGGTGCTTGACGGCGGCAGATGGATGCCGTCGCGGACGATATGTTTTACGGCCGATGAGGTACGTAGTTTACGGGTGCGTGTAATTTTCCACTTCTCCTCGCCGCCGGTAGCGTTTTAATGCACCTCACGCGCACAATAAACTTTAAGGTAGAGGTCAAAGGTCGGCCCCGCGAGCGTCCCGTACAAAGAGCTGCGTGTTTACCTAAGCCCGAGTTTAAAAAGCTTTTTCACGCTGAATAAAATATGGATGAGCGCGCGAGTGAATTATTGCGATGCGCGCATTTTTCGCAACTTGTTGGAGCGACGAGATGGATGATAGCGTGAAATTTATGTATAAAAAAACGAAACACGCACGCAGGTGGGCGACGTTGTCGTCGACCGTGTTATTGCATTCTTGGGCGATGGTGGTGGGCATGATTTTTTTTTATTTAATATTAAAAAATATATATTAAACGGAAGAGAGTTTTGAAGAGAGGCGAAACAGCAGGTTGGGGATTTTACCGGATTTGATTGTAGGTCAAAAGTACCGCGGACCAAGAGTACCGCAGCCTCAGAGCGGTCAAAAGTACCGCGCTGACGCTGTATTGTTGCGTGGCGAGAGATAAAAATCACATCATGAGAAAATTGAACAATAAAAAAATTTGTTTAAGCTCCTGCTAAATTATTTTTCTAAAAGAAAACAATTAAAATAGATTTAAAAAAAAATGAAAATTCAATAAATTTATCAAAAATAAATTTTCTCAAGTCAGAGACAGTCAGAGATAAAGAACTTTTTTGTGTCTGAAGGCCGTGGCTTGAGAATATGGACATAGAGATTTTTCCGGACAAAAAATAATTATAAAAATCGTGTATTGTATTTCTTAATATTCGGAATTACTAAATTTTTTTACGAAATTAAAAATGAATTAACAGTCAATTAGTGCACTATAGTGTTTATTAAAAAAAAAAATATTAAGGGTCTCGGCAGCTGGCTATGAATTTTATTTTTGCTATTTGCTGCAATAGATTTGAGTATGAATTGTTATAAACGGCAAATGTACATATTATTTTAAGTTATTGCAATAATAAACATGAACAAAATACATGATTTTTAAATTTCATGATTCATTATTGCGGCGGATGGGGTCTTTTTGATCTCGGAAGTTCAAGCAAAATGCTTGGTGGTGGTGCCGTTTTGTCCAACAATTCCTTTTTTTCAAAACAAATTTATTTACAACAGTTGAATGTTAAAAATGTGACTAATGTGATGTGGAAAAATAAACGAGAATGATAATTAATTTCTCCAAAAAGTTAAAAAATATTTGCTTCAAATATAAGAACCAATTTAAAATTTCTCAGATTTTAAAATATTTATGTTTTTTCGACTGCTCTACGGCCGCGGTACTTATAGTCCGCGGTACTGTTGGTCCCCTACCGGGGATTTAGCTCGAGACCTGCTGTCTGACAAGGTCTGCGAAAATTTGCTTTTAGAAAATCGGAGGAGAAAAGCTGATGTTTTAAGTAGGCTGGTGGAGCATCTCCCTATTACACGCTCGTCGAGGGCCATTGTGCAGCGAGATATAACGGAGGTTGTTTGCATGAGGGGAGAGATAGCAGCGGCAGATTGTGTGTGTGTACGTATACCTATGCTTGATGTGCGTCCAGATTTTTCAGCGCTAATGGACACGGTAATTACACAAAGGGAAAATACATGCACCGCCGACTTTTAGACTTTTAGATCACCACAGCAGGACCGGAGACTGGTTTTCTTTCATCTTTCTGCAGCCTAAATAGAAGCAAAAAGTGAGCGATGGAGAGAGAAATAAAATGAATGGAGGGCGAAGTCTTCGGAGCTGTATGGGGACGGAGGAAAAGCATTAATGAGAAAAAGCGGCGGCGAAGGCAGGTAATCTCGGCTGGAAAGCGCGCGCGGCGAGATTGATTTTCGGCTACTCACCTTGCGGACATATGTCGTCGTTTGAGCCGCTAATTTTTGCGAGTGGTTCGGCCAGCAGAGATAAGCATCACACCCTGTCCCCGCAAAAGGCGCTCTCTGCCTTTCTTCGCTCTCTTCGGTGCGTGCAGTGCGGGCCCGCGTGTGCGTTTGATGTGAGTGGTGCTGCTGGTCGGCGGCGGCAGCGGCGGCGGCGGCGGGTGATGACGAGGGTTCTCTTTCTCTCTCCCTTGTAGCTCGGCTGCCCGCCCGCCCGCCCGCTCGCGAGCAAGCAGAATCAAGCACCGCTCACGCGCCAATCCATCCAGCCACCTGTTACCCAGCGCGCTGTTTGCGCACGCCCTTTTAACTGTGGCTTTATGTGGAGAACCAATCCGGTTTGTATGATTATGAATATTTGGCCGAATTCCATTAACGTAGTAACTTAATATTTTCAGGGCTGCCGCCTAATCCAATTCTTCGCCCCCTTGCCACGACTGCTCCGAGGGCTTCGACTTGCGCCGACGACAATAAAAGCATCAAATGCAATCAACAGTTGGAACGACGCTGCCAACTTTGTTTAACACTCGCGAGCGTTTTCTAATTAAAATTGCTGCGGCATTGTGCCCATTAAAACGAGGGCTTCTTCTTCATCTTGGTGCGGCAACAATGAAAAGCGGTGTAATGTGCGCCCCCGCCACACAGCGATGAGTTATTTCCCTCGGAGAGTCGCGAAAACGAGGCCAGTGCAGAATATGGATTTTTCCTCCTCACCTTCCTCGTGCTCGCTGTACACCCTCTCGTCTCGTTAATGCCGCTCTCAAGAGTTTTTCAGCCAGTCGACTGAATTTTGTAGTACACGGTGCGGGCGGCGCTCAAATTTAATATTGGATTTTTTCCTGGTTGGCCGTGGCGCCGGCGGAAATTGTGCGCCCTCAAAAACACACTCATAGCGCGCATTATTTGGCCAAATACACGCAGACTTGGTACGCAGCGCGTGCAGGCGCAGGGGTTTTAATACTAAGCCTCTGCTAAACAAAGATTATTTGCATCCCTTTCATGTACGGCCCCAATCAATATGGAGCGGCAGGTAGCTGCGCTGGTGGTCGTGCTGCTCTACCTACCGTTGCGAGATGAGCACGCGCTTCTTTGTAAGCGATATTATTGGTTTTGCATCGAACCTGCTGGCTACTTTCTGGGGATTATATTGGATGTGTAAACCCCTTTGAGCAAAGTAAGCCACCGGGATTGTCTATATCAATAGTAACTTCGGTCCAAATTGTTTTTTAAACAATAATACGCAGGAAATATCATCTCTGAAAAAAAAAACAATTAAATATGAACACAAAGGAGAACCAAATATTAAAAATTAAAAATAATTTTTGTTGCAATATCTAATTTTGCTTCCAATTTATTCAATAGAAAATTGCCAAATAATATTTTGCCTTTATGTTTTTTGGCAAATTTAGTTAGAAAAAGAAAATTATTCTTATTGTTACATCCTCGAGGGATATTTGAAAAGCCTGCTTATGCTTTTAAAAATTTCAGGAAACACCCTAGGCTGGCACGAGAAACTTTTAATTGCCTGCTTTTCATTTTTATCCTGAAAAGACTTTAAGCTGAAAAAAAAATATTTAAAAATAACAACGGCCAAATGCTAAAAACCCAGAAGTTGGTGTCGCTCTACAAAGCTAAATGGAGTCCCGCAATAGGGCCACAAAGAACAAGGCAGAAATCAGCATAAAATTCCAAATTATATTAAAAATAAAAATTTGTAAAAAGTTTTTAATAAAATTCTAGAAATTATTTTACGTCTGTTTTATAGCAGCTTATTGCTATCACTTGTGAACTTTTGTGTTACACTAATTTGTGTAAGTTGTGTTTGATTTTATTTCGCCCAATTGCTTAAATTTAATTTTTGAAAACAAATTTTTGAGGAAAAGGTATTATTGGACAAAACGGCACCACCATACTGGCAAGAATTTTGCTAAAATTTCCTATATAAAATGTATTATGGATGAGCACAGCAGACGGCAGGGCGCCGTCAGTCGCGGCGAACCCCATTGACCTGTTGATCAACTGAAGCGCCATTCCATTCACGGATTTCACTTTCTAGCCAGCTGTCAGATGAAATAAGAGCAGCACACCTTTTTAACCGAAACACATTATTTCCGAGTGCAAAATTCAAAAGCTGGAGTGCAGTGAATTACGCCTCGTGAATTGTTTATTCCAAGCAGTGCCAGCGGCCTCCACATCCATTATTGCATTAGGACATTGTTAGCCCGGTGGCAGAGTGACTAATTCGATAAAGCAGCGGCGACTCTCTCAGGGTGCCTCTGGGTCAGCGGTGGAGAGCGGAGCGGTCGCCCACTCGCTGTCGGCCAAGAGAGAGAGAGAGAGAGAGAGAGAGCCAGCAGGTGACTTTGTGCGTTATTTTTAAGAGAGCGCACGGCTGCTTGATTGGGTTGCATTACGAGAGCAACAGGCAGAGCTGGCGGCCGTGCGGTGGTGGAGGCAGCGGCGGTGGAGGGTCCTCCTCTTGACAGGGGAGGCTGGTTTGGTCCGTGTACAAAGCAGGGAATCAAGCAGCCGAGCGAGCAAGCAAGAGAAGCTGTTGCTACAGTGTGTCCCTGGATCAATACTCCCCATGCAAGAGCAGCGCGTCATGAGCGGAGCGGAGAGGGCCAGATATACGTACGAGCGCCGAACCGAACTTTTCATTTTTTTATATTCCTTTTTTTTGGGTGATGCCACACGCACGCGTCCGCTGTACATTTGACGCAAAACGCTGTGGATTTCAACCGATGCCCCGTTTGAACTTGTGCCCTTTTGCCGCCGCCGCTCTTTTACTCTTCACTTCCACGCATACATTGTATAATTACAACCAGAGAGAGAGAGAGAGAGAGAGAAAAGGTGGCCGGTCGGTCCGACCGGACAAGATTTGGCCGTGTATGCTGGTAGCTTTCTAGTTAGTGGCCGGCGGCAATCAATTTTCGCTGCTCGCCGAGTTCTTTTTTCAATCAAATACACGACGACGCCATACCGCTCTGGGCAAACACGCTCACTTAACCCTCATAAATTTTTATGAATATCAAATGAATATTCATGTTTGCATTCCGGCGTACCATGAGAGATAGAGAAGGGTCCTCCTGTTGAGCTGTTTGCTCTTTCCGTCGCGCACCGCGACCAAGGGAAAACCTACTCTGCTTTTTGAGGAGAATTTTCCGAGCTTTGTGATGCTCCGAGAGGCCATTAGCTTTCAATTACTCAGATTCAGGACACTCGGAAAAGCATATTTCTCCGTAGATTGGATAAGTCTGGTAATTTTTATCTTTCTTTGTATATTATGAAAATTCTAGTTTGAGAATATAAAATTAGAAGAAATGAAAAGTCTTAAAACGAAGCATTTTTTATGTGATTTTTTCTATGCAATTTTTAGACAAGTCTACAAGTCTGTAGACTTTTATAATAGAATATAGCTCAAACAAATTAAATGTAAAAAGTTTTTTGTTTTTATTGATTTTAATTAAATTTGTTTATTACAATTTCTCTTAATCAGCACAGTTAATGTATATAAAAAGAGATATTTTTTATATTATTAATTAGAAGAGTACAGGTTAAACTAAATGAAATATTTACATGAACGGGAATATCAAATTCTAGCCCTATATTTTTATGTAAAGATTTAAAATATAATGTTCCAAGCAATATTTATTGCATTTCAATTTCACGTTTCAGCAAAGAAAGTTGAGGCACTTTTCAGGCTGGTCCGCTGCCATACTTAGATTCAATGATCAAAAGCCCGTTTCACGAAAATTCCCTTAAATGAAGTCCCCCCATCCGCCGGCGTTTTTACATTCAAATCGATGCAAAATTACTTTTCAATCAGCGTTCCCGTCCCACTGGGAGTTTCTGCATCAAAAACTTTCCGGTCGGCAACATAAATATTTTCCATGCCGTCTCTCTTTGTTCCCAGTGTGCGGAGTACGTTTGTACGTAGCAGTCAAAAAACGAAACTTTTCACCCCTGGGAGCGAAGTCCCGGTTTCCCCCCTGCTGCAGCAGCGCAGGTAGGGGCTGTTCTCATGGCTGCCTCATTCGCTCTCCCGCCCGCTCGTGCGCTACAGGTGTTAATCCTAATCAAATTATTTATATGTGTACACACAAACGGCGATGATAACGTGCACTCGGGCCCCGCTAACTCGCGCTCCCATGTGCATATTCTGTCGGAGAGGAAATTAGCTAGATGTTGAGCGCCACCCGCTATCGATTTGATAATGGATCTTATTTACCTGTCGGTTCCAGGAAGCGACGAACCAACTAAGACTCGGCAGGAAATTCAATCAAGACAAACAAAAGCCCCAACGCATAGTGACAGCGCGCGAGGCGTGCGATTTTTCTCCCTTATCGGAAAGGCGAGAGGGGCTTGTAATGCTTTTTATTTGCTCGGAAACGGTCCGCTTACGATAACAAAAGAGTTTGCATGGCGCTCTCGTTGTGAGCGGGGGAAAAATGAGATTTTATCGATTGGCGGAAGTACATATATTGCTAAAATTCTCCCTGTGTGTGTATGTTAGCAGCACATTAATGTGTCGAGGCTTTGAATTAACGACTGCAAACAATGCAGGCTACGGGCATAGAAAGGAAAATTATATTCGATCGTGTGGAAAAACGATACACACAAGTTGAACAAGCAGTTTTCAGAATATTAAATTTTTTTATTTTGTGTGTTATTTTTGCAGTGAAAATGTTTTTTTTTAATACATTGTTAAATCTTACTCTTTTTATAATTAGATTTACAAGGTATCACTGTAAATAGATCTCAATTGTATAAAAACTTGATAGTTAATATTATTTAATAAAATTCCACATCCAATTTAGCTCTCCTTAAAATAAAAATTAATTTTTTTTAATGAAAAAATAATTTTACATTTGTCCAAATAAAAATATTATTACAGCCATTATCCCAATTTCAGCAAGTAAAATGAATTAAAAAATAACTTTTATTTCGGTCAAAAATCGGAAATGCATAATTCATGTCTTTGCAGTTGGCTAATGTGTCTTGCGTCAAACGGGTTTAAAAATCAAGAGCTTAGGCAGCCGCCGCTGCGAATTAAATCGGCTTTGTCCAACAGGCGAGTTGGAAAAAGACAAAAGAGGTCCT